AAGTCACTTACACACCAGAGTCATCCACACACATACACAAAGTAAATCTACAGAGTATCAAGGATGAAGCAGGCTTGAAAGGTTTACAAAGGCTATCCCTGCAATATATTCTTTAGTATAAAAGATACAAATCTTTCAGTAATGCATTCTGCTTATTTGATTGAAAAAGCTTTCATTTTCTGATTTATTTATTTATTTATTTATTTGGTTTTTCGAGAGAGGGTTTCTCTGTGTAGCTTTAGAACCTATTCTGGCACTTGCTCTGGAGACCAGGCTGGCCTCGAACTCACATAGATCTGCCTGCCTCTGCCTCCCGAGATGGGATTAAAGGCGTGCGCCACCAACACCCGGCGATTTATTTTATTTTTATGTGTCTGAGTGTTCTGCTTGCATGTATGTATGTACACCACTTGTGTGTCTGGTGCCCACAAAGGGCACCAGATTTCCCAGAACTAACAATCTGGAGTTATGGATGGAATCTGGGCCCTGCTCCTCTGCAAAAACAACAAGCGTTATTAACCACTGAGTCATCTCTCCTGCCCACAAAATTTTGTGTTTTCAGTTTTTTCAAATAATTTATTTTCATTTTGTGTGCATTAGTGTTTTCCCGGCATATATGTCTATGTGAGGGTGTTGGATTCTGGAGTTACAGACAGTTGTAAGCTGCCATGTGAGTGCTGGGAATTGGACCCAGATCCTCTGGAAAAGTAGTCAGTGCTCTTAACCACTGAGCCATCTCTCCAGCCCCAAAATTTGTATTTTCATCTACAGTTCACAACTCAAAAAAACCTAGAGTTTCATAAGACTTGCTTGGGAATGTTCACACCAAATCAGTACTCATTAAGCAATGTGTTCACAGGAATATTACTCTCTCAAGAAAACAGCAAGAGCTACTTATATCAATGTATGTGGTCACTTACATCTATATATAACACAAATGGTCTCCCAAGCTTAAATCTTTGCTCTGTATGCTTTGGAGCACCTACATTGTGTGGGCAGTTAAGTGCTCAATGAGTTTCTGTTGACTGTGCATACAGGTTGTACCAAACATGACTAATCTCAACCACTAATGAAACCATATTTACATTTCTTACTAATAGCCACTAGAGGATTGAGAAAATGCCTATCAGATTACTAAAAGGTCAGGAGCTCCTAAAGATTCTCTTTGACATATAACACATTCATACACATCTTCTAGGTTAGCCATGGAGATGACCTATGTGAGTTTAGCATCATTCTTCATTCCTCCCTCGAGCCTCTGGCCCCTCTTTTATAAATGCTTAGATAGGTTTATTGAGAGGAAATACGAGATAGGGGAATCTAGTTCAGGGCACATTACATGATATATAACTGATTTTCCTTGCCATGGAAAACAATAAATTGGAGTCAAAGGAAAAAGGTAACATTTTTATACAGGGAAGACTGTTCTCATAATGTGACAACCACAAGGAAGTAACAGCCACACACCCATCTGGTCCAAAGCATTTCTAGATTAGGACAGGAGTAATTGCAAAGACCCCAAGGCATGAGTGCTTGACCTGCTAGAGAAACAGCAAGGATAACCAATAGGCAATGTGACCACAAACAGTGGGGACAAGGAAGGCAGTGGGAGTTGAGGCCAGAGGGTTAGCGGGGTGGAGGTATTGTCAGATCAGAGAGGGTACTAGAGATCATTATTAAATTTTTGGATTTTTACTTCAAGAATAAAGTTATCGTAATGTTTGGAAATAAAAATCAATATGATCTCCTGAGTTTATGTTTTATTTTGGGGGATGAGGGGGGGGTGGTTGTTACCAAAGATTGAGCCCAGGACCTTGTACATACTAAGAAAGTTCTTTCACTCTGAGACAGGTCTCACCAAGTTATCCAGTCAGCTTCAAATTTGCTCTGTAGCCCAGGAAAGTCTTGAATTTGTAATACTCCTGCCTCTACCTCCTGAGTAGCTGGGACTACAGGCTTGTACCACTAGACTCAGCACTGATGTTCTAAAAAGGTCCCTGTAGTTACTGTGCCGAGAAATGGACTAGGGGCCAGAGGAACTAGTTAGAAGTTACTTCAATGAATTAAAAAAAAAAGGTATACAAAGGAATTATATCTGAATTTCTTTTTAAATCTGCATACATTTTAAAAGTAAAGAAGATACTAACTGCTAATGATTTAGATATGAAGGTCTGAGAAAACAACAGTCAAGAACTCTTAAGATTCTAAAATGAGCATCCAAGTCAATGCTATTTATTGCTAGATTGGAAAGAATGAAGGAAGACCAAATTTAGGAGTGGGTAAGGTGACATGTAGAGATGCTATCTCTGAAATACCTCTCACAGTCATGAAGTAAGTTGCCAGTGGCATCCTGGCAACTGTGCCCCCTTTCATAGGGTGAGGGTGCACAATTGACTGCATTCTTCTCTATCCAGGCCATGGATCTAGTATCCAACACTGCATCTGGGAGCCCCGAGGAGCTGATAAAAACGAGGCTACGGAAGCCTAAGGCTGGTTAGGAATCCTCTCTTGTTCTGCACTAAATGGCAGCCAACTCTTAGAGGGATCTTCTGTAATCAAGACTACCTCGGGATCAAAAAAAGATTAGAGGAAGGAAGAAAGAAAGGTAGATAGATTGATTGCTAGTGCAGACTAATGCAAACTATTAATACTTAGTTTCTCTTTGAACTGAAAACTTCCTCAGAGGCATAAACACTTATTAGCAGTCTTCAGCCCCTCCCCATCCATCCATCCATCCATCTATCCATCCATCCATCCATCCATCCTCCCTCCATCCATCCACCATCCATCCATCCATCCATCTCCACATTATTACCACCTTCTGAGACTAGACAAGCAGAATAGAATTTTATCCTCTTTTTTCTGCAAAGGCATAAAACAAATATTCTTCTTGGGAAAGAAAGGTTCTCCCAAGAACTGTTAGCTATTAAGCAAATCCGAAGAATATGACTTTTTTTTAAAGATTTATTTTCATTTTATGGGCTTAAGTATCTTGCTGCATGCATATCTGTGTATGCGTATCCATAGAAACCAGAGAGGTCACTGGATCCCCCTATAGAATGGAGTTAGTGATAGTTGTGAGCCATGATGTGGGTGCTGAGAATCAAATCTGGATTCTCTGGAAGAGGAGCAAGTGCTCTTAATCACTGAACCATTTATTCAGCCTGTTTTTTATTTACTAATTTTCTTTTTCTTTTCGGCACTAAGGTTTGAACCTGGGCCCTTGTAGAATCTAGGCAAATTTTCAACAGTCAAAACTATACCCCCAGGGATTATTTGCTTGTTTGAAACAGGGTCTCCTATTGTCTAGGTTGACCTTAAACTAGTTTATACAGCTGAGGATGACCTTAAACTCTTACTAAAAAAAAAAAAAACCAAAAAAAAAAAACACCCAAAAAAAAAACACCCAAAAAAACAAAAACCAAAAAACTAAAAAAATCTCATATTTGATTCCTAGCACCACATAACAATTTCCATGTAAGACTACATTAAAATAGTATGTAAAAAAGACAATAGTATATATATGACCCCAAGGTTTTAATTTTTGCTGTATGTTTTTATAGTATTGAGGAACACACCCATGGGTCTTGTGCTTGGTAGACATCCTCAGTGCTGCTTAATTTTTTAAGAATGACACATGTCTTTAATCCCAGCACTCAAAAGGCAGAAGCAGGAAAATCTTTCTGAAGTCTATGCCAGCCAGGGCCATATAGTGAGACCCTGAAGCATAAACAAACAAACAAATAAACCCCATATTTACTGTTCATGTTTGGAATTCAGTTTAATTTTTACTCTGGTATGGGAAACTGAACTCAGGCTTTGCGCATACTAGGCAAGTACTCCATCTTGGAGTCATAACCCCAACTCTGGAAGTCAGTTTACTAACTTAAAAAAATCTACTTCTATGTCTATTATGTATTTCATCTTGATCAGATGATTTCACCCTCCTTTGTGTGGTGACATATATCTTGGGTGATTTGTACAGGATGACCATAAGTTTAAGGCCAGCCTTTGCTACATTGCCATTTTGAGGCCTACCTGGGCTATATGAGACCCTTTCTCAAAAAACCAAAACTTAAAAATAAATAAACATTCATAAAAAAAAAAAAAAGCCTTCCTGCTGAGAAGCCATTCATGGACTACTCCCTAAAGGCCTCTCTCTGCCCTAGGGAGGAAGAGTCAGGCACAGAGTTGACTCCCCAACTGACAGACTGCCCTAAGCTCCACCTGGCTGAAGACCCACTGTTAAACTAGAAGCTCCACAGTCCTAACCAGAGCGACAGGGAATGGCCTTTGTTTTCTATAAACAGACATGAAAAAAGTCAGGTTAAAACAGTCTTTAGAGGAAGGAAAATAGAAACCAGGCAGTGGGGAATGCTTCATATTCCTAAAAGCTTTTTTTGTAAGTTAACACATGGTGTCTGCTTCTCTCTAGTCACCTATTTATCACTCTCCTCCTTAGAGAAGGGAAAAAGCCCTGGCTGCTTTCCTAGTGCAGAGTTTTGTGGCTGGGGGAAGGAGGGAGAGGGAAGGAAGGAGGGTGCTTTAAGCATGATGCAAACCATTTGGAGCTGAGTGAGAGCACTGCCAACACAAGCTGCACTATTTAAACAAGTGAGGAAATGATCGTATATACAACATGCCAGCAAGCGCTCGCATTCCCCCCTCCTCCCTCCCTCCCTCTCCTCCCTCTCTCTCCCCTCCCTCCTCTCTCTCTCTCTCTCTCTCTCTCTCTCTCTCTCTCTCTCTCTCTCTCACACACACACACACACACACACACACACACACACACACACACCACCCCAAAGGAAGTCGAGAGAGATTTTTTTTTTTAGGACACAGAGCTGGATGTCAGCGGCTAAAAGGTCGATATTTTCCCTTAACACCCTTCTCAATGACTTAATCATGTTCCGTTCGCACAAAAAACTTCCCAAGAATAAAAAAGTCTGGAGAATTAAGAGAACGGGTAAATGGGGAGGGATGTTTGGCCTGAGGCTGACCTTATCCGAGGTTTTCTCCACGTAGCAGGGGTCCTGAGGGGCAGCCAGCAAGGGGACAAAGCCAGAGAGGAGCCGATCCTCTTCCAGGATAAGAAGGGTGAGGTCATCATCCGGGTCCTTGTACAGTGGCACCTCAGACTGATTCACTGCAGTGAGTATGTTACAGAAGTCAGCTAGTGTTGACCACACATCCACAGCAACCCTGTGAGGAACAAGATGAGAAAAGAGTGGCTCTAAAGAGATCAGTGAAAGTGTTCTTAGTGCTTTGGGAACACAAAGATACTTGTAACAAAAGCTGTAAGGCTGGAAACTGCCAAGAAATACTATCAAAACTGCAATATGAAGCTGTGCCCATGTTGAGCCATCTGGGGTATATTGCTCTATGTAAACCTGAAATTGATTAGGGGAGTTTTAATCTTAACCAGAGAGGAGGAAAAAGAATTCTGAGAGTCAGTTGTCTAATGCAGGTCCTGTCACCTTTCCAGACAGTGTGCTGAGACACTTACTCAAACACTCTAGATACCCAGTGCCTAAGGCAGCTCCCAGAAGTCCCTGATTCTGCATAGTCAAGTATCTGCCACAGAGACAGAAACTGGGCACTAGCTTCTTTCCTTCTGTCATGGCTACACGGGGAGTAATCACACTGTGTAGTCACCTGCATTTCCTTCTTAGAAATATTTTATAAATGTATTCCCTATATGTAAGCAGTAAAATGAATACATATCCAAGAAAATCCCCCTTCCTGTCCTGCCAAGATGTGCCCGGGAAGGGAAGCTTCTTGCTTACTTCAGTGCTACCTTGACTGTCCCATGCCTTCTCCATTCTCCCGCTTGTACATTAGACACAAGACGACTAACCATCCTGGCATCATCCTTGTTTTAGCACTAAATTTATCACATCCCACAAGTCCCCTAATCTGACACAAACAAGGGTGGTTGGTCACCCCAGTCCCACATCACCAGGTTCTGGTTGAAGCTGAGAAGAAACACTCAAAATACAAAATCTATCTCTCTCCACTTAAAACTTCAAGGTAGATTGACTTTCTCCTCCAGAAAGGTTTTTAACCCAAGAGTGTGGAATGCTAAGGTGTGAAATGTTAGGAGAGTTATTAAAAACAAAAACAAAAAACTCTACAAGAGAGATGGAGTACAAAGAGGCAATATGCCAAGAAGTTCTAAGTGTCACCCTGAAAGCTCCGAAGGGTACTGTCCATAAGCTTACCTGGTAGGGCAGGGGTCTCAGACCTAAGCCATTCCTTCCCTATCCCCAGATGACAGGAAAGAGGGCATGCCAGGATTACACTAGGGCAGAATGTGGACTAGGGAGAGGTATGAGGGACTCTCTCACCAGTTCCAGGTGGAAGGAGGCAGAACTAGTTTATTTACTGTAATCACTACACTAAGAAAAGGCAATGAAATGAAACATCTTGTTTTCAAGAGCGTCCTGGGAACCAGGCAGAACACAGTGCCATTAATCACACAACAGCACACAATCAACACGCATGCATGGCAGAAGTAACTCACTTCCCAGGCTTTGCCCAGGAGAAAGAAAACGTTTGGGAGGAATCACTGGAGGGGCGAGAGATTTCTAAAGCCCCTCTGCATGGACACCAACAAGCACACTCATTCACAAAGCTCCATCTTTTGGCTCAGCTGAGTTTGGCTGTCAGAAATGTTTAAATATGGAAAAAAATAAACAGTTGCAACACGTTTCTTTGCAGAAATCTGCCTGGGCTCCTCTGTGATGTAATGGGAAACACGGCACTCAGGCTACCAGCTGTAGAATAAACAGAACTTTGAGGGTTAAAAGGAACTGAACTTTCCACGACCCCATCTGCAGAGAAGAAAATAATAAGAGGAATGATGCACTGCCCCACAGCTCTGATAGTTTATCCTCCGGTCCGGCTGCAGAGACAAGCACCGGATGTGATAGGGCTGCTCAGGGCTGCCTCTGAGGTTAGCGCTGCCCATGGGAGACACACAGGGAGGCTCTTCCAGTTCCCTGCTTCCTCCCCCAGTGCCCCGCTGGCCACTTGAGCCCACTGCCTGAGTCTGATCCCACAACTTGGTGAGCTGTGGCCAATAGGCACTGCTAGGCTACAGAGCAGCAACTTGGAAAATAAACAGGAAAAACGCCAGTGAGAAGGAAGAAGGTGAAAAGTCTCCCATCTGAATTCTTGGCTTGGAGGTCCTGGTTGGTGCTATACAGGTCAAGGCTGCTTGAGGACATAGTTAGGGATGGGGGTGTGGGCAGCAGTATCCCCAGCCAGAGAGAGGCGGCAGAAAATCACCCACAGTTTCCTCAGTGGGAGGCCCCACATCCCTCTCATCCTCCCACCCATACCATCTTGGATCCAAGAAGAAGAAATATGTGGTACCATGTGGTTCTCATTACCATGCTCTCCTGTCCCCTAAGGCTCAGATAAACCAAAACTGACTCCTCCCAGAGGCTGCTGGCCACCACTAGGGACCCCTGCCCACATCTATCTTTTGCCCATTACCACCCACCTTGTGCCACAGCCTTATGACACACTGCAGTGATAAGGTGGATGAGAATTCTTACCCTGTTGATTTTGTAAGACAGCAGCTGGTGCCAAAAGACATAGGAAGTGCCCTGAGTTCCCAAGTCAGAAATATAAATAAAAGTGTTCCAAGGGTCAACTAGACTGATCAGAATTAAGGGGATATACAAAAAATGATAAAATGAAACGTCAATATTGCAGTCAGTTCAGCTAGCCTGATCTTGTTGGTACCCACAGGCCAGCCTGTGACAAAGGAGTGGGAAATAGGGAGAATCAGCAAACTAACAACAAAAGGAGAGGTACAAAAACCCAGGTGAGATGCCTGAACTAAAAAGCCAATGCCTGCAAGAGGATGATGTCGTCTCTGGAAGTTTACTTCAACTGTGCCACTATGCTGAGGTCAGTTCCACAGCCGAACAGTTTCCTGTCTAAGTAGAAGGGGAATATCTTGGATTCTTCCCATGTTTCTTCCTTATCCCAATAAGATGTGCTATCTAACCTTCACCCCACAGCAGCCCTTGGACCCTAAGGTGAGAGTCAAGGTTGGTGGAAGAACACAAAATCAAATGTTTATGGCTATGAAGCTTGAAGACACTTGACAATACTGCGGGGGCTCAGTCAAGCCCCCCTGCTACCCATTCCCATCCAGTTTTTTTCTTGAGAAGGGGACTGGAGGGTCACAGTTGGGTAAGAGGGTGGGAAGGTGGGTGTGGGGAGTCTCACCACAGAGCCCCGACTGGCTTCAAAGTCTCAGTGATCCTAACTGCTGAAATCACAAGTGTATGTCCCTATGTCCAGCTAAGGCAAATCCTTCTGGACTGTTCTGGTTCAACTTGTATTTTGGGGTTGCACCATAGTCCACAAAAGTTAGGATATACTCTTCACCAAGCAGACACAAATCAGCCAGAGAATATGAAACTGTTCAATAAACCCATTTATGACTCCCAGAATGGTGGCAAGGGAATCTCTCAGCAGCTGGGGTGCGATTACTGTGCAGGGATCAGCAGTTGCAGGGTGACCCATTGGCCCAACCTCACAGAACACCACCACACACCAGAAAAGCAGACCCCTGGCTGGAGTCTGAATGCCAGATCTTAGCCTAGGACAGACCAGCAATGACTAGTTAGAGGTATATGCACTCAGTACCAAGGTTCACTACAGACATGCATTCACTTACTCCACCAGCAAGGGAAAAAAATAAGAGTTAATTTACTTTTTATTGCCTCAGAATTCCAAGGTTTAATGTAGCTGTCAGTTTGAGTGCAGCGCAGCTGCTGGCCGATACAATGCAGCTCAGGCCAGCCCAGGTGACTGGGGAAACACATTTCACAGAAATGAACCAACACACACTCTTGGCTGGTTGTTTGGAGGATATTGACTTGGGGAATCAGATTAACCCTTCAGGCTGGGGTTAGTTCTGCAAATAGCATTAGAAAAGCTCTTCAGTCTAGGGAATTAGGAAGCTTTGCTCTCAGGTAGGTCCATAGTTTTCTGTGTTTCTAACGTTCTAGTTCTCTCACGGGAGATGTGACACAACTATGTGCCCTGCAAGACTGAGGTGTGGAATATATGGGACATATTATACCACAGCCATCATGTCCTTGCTCAGGAGGAGAGCCAGGTCTAATATCTGCCAGGGAAAGAGTCAGGTAGGACTGTTCCTAAAGCTCTAACAGACAGAACTAAGGAAGGGCAACAGGTTGGAATGGTTTGGCCAGAGCTCAGTCTTTCTGGAAAGACCAAGGAAGACTAAGCACTCACACACTTCTTCATATTTTTACTGGGGGGAATAGGCTGACTGGTGATTAATATCAAGTACAATGACCCCATGTTACAAGCCTGCAGGGGCCTGTGGAGGTGGCCATTTCCTGTGTAATACCAGCTTGTTTAAACACTAACATTCAAACTCCACAGCTGCAGAACAAACCCGGAAAGAGTTGAGTGAGAAGAAGCCCTGCATTGTGTTTCTGAGCTATGGAAGATCAGAGTAGTACAGATGGGAAACTAGTTGGGTTTTGGGTTCCTGGGGTGAAGAGATCTGGAAACCACAGCCAAAATGGTACAGAAAGTAGGTACAAGGAAGCAAAAAGCCCACTCAGTATAGGCTCACTGAGAAAGACAAAAAGCTATCAAGCAAAATGCTCAAAGATGTATGTTATCTGCTTTAAAAAATGTATTTCCTTTTTTTTGGGTTTGGGAGCCCAACTCATTGAATTAATAGACAACATAAGGCCCTGGCTGACCTGGAATACTTCTCACTCAACTGCAGAAAATGGCTAGCAGTAGAGATGGATCTAAACCTAACAAGTCTAGTGGCATTCAAAGAATATTTGGGCTTAAATGTTAGTAAATTCTGTTAAAAGCCTGTTTGCAGCAGGATGAGTATATGGTTCTGGAACCTCAGTGCTATGAATTTCAGTAGGCTCTACGATAGGGTAGAGATTTAGCTACCTCACTAAGATACAGGAACCACAAAATTTGGGTTTTAGATGCTGCCCTGATACAGAAAGATCACTATTCCAAGGGGTAAGACAGGGAGCAAGATACCATGCTCCATGAACTCAGAGAGGTTTACTAGTTAAGCATTAGAACATAGGACCTAGTTCAAGACTTTCCTTCAATAACCCTAGTTTATACAAAAGAAGTCAATCAACTGGGTACTTTGAAAAAGTACTCAGCCC